AAAATTGAGGCATGGGTAACCAAGCAGTTTGCAAGGGAGACAGAGAAGTTTGGTGGGGTAGGGGGAAGAACAGGTAAAAACACCTTAGGGCTGGTCCCTTGACCATCCCCTATGACAGTGCTTTAATATACTGTAGGTGGGTCAACTGTTTTATTGTTGTGTGCCTTCAAGTTGTTTCTGACTTGCGGTGAACCTAAGGCGAATCTATCATGAGCAAGATTTCTGGTCACCCTGGAAGGACCGCTTCATCCCTGCTAGGCCAATACTTTCCCTGTCTTGCCCATCAGTGCTGTTGCTACACAGGTGTTCAAGGAGGAACAAAATAGTGTAATGGATTCCTCTTGCTAGTTGTGGGATGAGGGAATGAATGCTGTGGGTCATGGGAGCCTCAAGAGCAGGCCAAAGAGATGGAGTGGAAGGGTGTTATCAGGAGATAGCAGACTGAATTCAGGGTCCTGTTTCCTATCCATGGTGCTGAAGCATGTGGGCACCTCCTGGGGTGGACAAAGACAGGTTGAAGAGAAGAGGTGCTGGTTTTGACCTGTAAAGCCCTAAATGGCTTGGGTCCAGACTATCTGAAGGACCATGTCTCCCTATACAAGCCAGCCTGAGTGCTAAGATTGGTAGGGAAGAGCTTTCTCTCCTTCGGAGGTGCAGTTGGTAAGGGCTCAGGAGAGAGCCTTCTTCTGGAATCAGATATCTCTCGGAGTGTGGTGGAGTCTCATTCTTTGGAGGTTTTTAAACAGAGGCTGGATGGCCATCTGTCAGGCATGCTTTGGTTGTGAGTTCCTGCATGGCAGAATGGGGTTGGAGTGGATGGCCCTTGGGGTCTCTTCCAACTCTAGGATTCTATGATTCTCCATGGCTGCTCCCAGACTGTGGAACTCCCTGCCACTGGAGGTCAGGTTGCTCCCTTCCCTGCTCTCTTTTTTTTTGCCAGCTGAAAACACTTTTATTTGGGCAGGCGTTTGGTGGATGAATTTTACTTCTGTTGCACTGTTAATGATTTATGACTTTTATTGGTTTTAGCTATGCTGTTTTAACTTATGTTTTAATGTTAGTAATATTTAATTATTTTTAACTTTTGTAATTCATGCTTTCACTTCTGCCTTTTTAAGTTATTGTAACCCGCCTGAATCCCACTGTGGGAGAAAGATGGGATATAAACCTTTGAAAAGAAGCTAGTAAAATGTGGGCTAGATAATGCAACTGTTAGGCAGATTTCTAATTGGTTGACCAGACGAACCCAAAGGGTGCTCAGCAATGGTTCCTCTTCTTCATCCTGGAGAGAAGTGACCAGTGGGGTGCCAGGGGGTTCTGTCCTGGGGCCAAGGCTATTCAGCATCTTTATCAATGATTTGGATGAAGGAACAGGGGGCATACTTATCAAATTTGCAGATGACATCAAACTGGGGTTGTTAATTCCCCAGAGGACAGGATCAAGATTCAAAATGACCGTGACAGATTAGAGGGCTGGCCTAAAGGTAACATGTTGAATTTC